TGGACCCCAGTAGGGTTTTGTGTTTCTTTCTCTCCAGCTTAAGTAGGGGGTGGACTAGAAGGCCTCTAAGGCGCCTTACCTTTCCCACCAGCTGGACAATCTCGGCCAGGTCCTCCTCCTCCTGCAGGATCTCCTTGGCTTTGGTCCTCAGGGAGATGAACTCCGGGTAGAGCCTCTCGTAGTGCTCGTCCAGCGCCCGGGTGTACTTGCTGTAGCTGATCAGCCAGTTGACGGAGGGGAAGTGCTTCCGCTGCGCCAGCTTCTTGTCCAGGCCCCAGAAGACCTGGAAGGGGGGGGCAGGAAGGGAAGTCTCTCACGCGGGATCCTATTCTTCTCTATTTATGATTTCATTTGATTATTTTGATTCATTACTTTATTCACTATTTTATATTATTTTATTCATTATTTTATTCATTATTTTATTCATTATTTTATTCATTATTTTATTTCATTTATTATTTTATTTCATTTATTATTTTATTCATTATTTTATTTCATTTTATTTATTATTTCATTTTATTTATTTCATTTCATTCATTATTTCATTTCATTCATTATTTTATTTTATTCATTATTTTATTTTATTCATTATTTTATTTTCTTTATTATTTCATTTCATTTATTATTTCATTTCATTTCATTTATTATTTCATTTCATTTCATTTATTATTTCATTTTATTTATTATTTCATTTCATTTTTTTATTTTATTCATTATTTATTTATTTATTATTTCACTTTTTATTTATTATTTTATTTTATTTATTGTTTAATTTATTATTTTATTTTATTTTTGTTTTATTTTATATTAATTTTGTTTTATTTTATTTTATTATTTTATTTACTTTATTTAATTTTTATTTTATTATTATTTTAGTTATTATTTTATTTATTATTTTATTTTAATTTACCTTTTATTTTACTATTTTATTATTATTTTATTTATTATTTTATTTATTATTATTTTATTTATTTTATCTTATTATTTATTTTTGAAAATTTAGATAGGAGCCCAGGTGATTAAAGTGCAAGATTGTAGGCTGACTCTGCCAACTGACAGCAGTTCGATCCTGACTGGCTCCAGGTTGACTCAGCCTTCCGTCCTTCCGAGGGGGGTAGAATGAGGACCCAGATTTTGGAGGGCCAGAGGCTGACTCTGTAAACTGCTCCGAGAGGGCAATAAAGCCTTATGAAGAGGACAACCATCAAACCAGCCACTTGATGGGCTCTGTATCCCCCTGGTTCCCAGGGCTGCTGGCAGAACCCTGTTTTTAGGGCTTTTCAAAAGAGCATCAAGATATGGGCCAGTCTTCTCTTCGCATGGATGATGTTCCAGAAGGAGGGAGCCACCACAGAGAAGGCCCTTCTTCTAGATCCCACCAAGAGGGCCCCCTAAAGAGAGGGGACCCATAACATCCCCTGCCTCCCCACTGGGGAAAAAAGGTCTTTCAAATAAACCTGACCTTAAGCCACGGAGGGCGTTGAAGGTGACAACCAGACCCGGAAGCAAACCGGTAGCCAGTGCAGCTCCCGCAAGAGAGGTGTCACGTGTGCAAATGTAGGCTTGTGCAAAAACGTTGGTGGCCACATTTTGAAGCGAGTAGAGCTTTCGGATACTTTCCAAGAGCTCCCTGTGTAATGCGCATTGCACTAGTCAAGAGGGGAGGTGACGAGGGCGTGGGTTTGTTCACCGTGGGATCGTTGGTCCAGGAAAGGGTTGGATGTTCCCGGGGCCGCTAAGAACGTGGAAGCGGTAAAGCCTGACTCACCTGGACAATCCCCAGGGTCGCGGAGGTGACCGGATCTGAGAAATCCCCGCCAGGAGGGGACACCCTACAAGAAACAGGGACGGGGAAGATTGGTCAAAGGCAGAAACCCCAAATATCTGATGATTTCTCCCTCCTGCAAATGGCTGAAGTTTGTTGACAAAGCTTTCTCATCAGCGGCATTCAAGCTCTTGATGAGACCTGTGAGGCGAGAGCGATATCCGTGGGAAAGTCGCAGGTAAATAGGGCTAGGAGTGAGCTTGCAGGCCTCACTGAACCAAAGTTTTAAACCAACGTAATTGCAAAATGTACCAGATATATTTCTAATGTGCTGCATTTTCTGCAACGTTTGTACTGGAAATGGATCTATTTAGAGCAGGAAGAATGAGATGGTGGGAAATGAGGAAGCGAAAGTAACAAATAGCTGAGAGTTTCAAATGTACACGGGTGTTTGCAGAGAGTGACGGTCAGTAAGAAGGAAGAAGGAAGTGAAACAATGGAATGCGTAGGCCAGTGAAAGATGAGAATGGGGTCCTTTGCCAGATAGCAACCCTTGTAGGACTTGCTCTCTGTCATTGGAACCCATTGCAATGGATCTAACATGTAGGTTTTCTTGTGCAATTGCATTGCTATGTTGGCTATTCATGTTCCAACTTGCTCATGAAACAATAAATCTCTGAGCTTAAAGTAAGATTTGTTGCTTGTGAGAGAAGGAGAGAAGAAAGGAGGGAAGGAAGGAGGGAATGAAGGAGAGAAGGAAGGAGGGAAGGAAGGAGGGAATGAAGGAGAGAAGGAAGGAGGGAAGGAAGGAGGGAAGGAAGGAGAGAAGGAGGGAAGGAAGGAGGGAAGGAAGGAGGGAAGGAAGGAGGGAAGAAAGGAGGGAAGGAAGGAGGGAAGGAAGGAGGAAAGGAAGGAGAGAAGGAAAGAAAGGAGGGAAGGAAGGAGGGAAGGAAGGAGGAAAGGAAGGAGA